GGCAGAGATTTCTTCATTTTGTTGACCTTATCAAAGAACAAGCTGTTGGACTTTTAATAACAGCTATTCCTTGAAGTTTTGTTATTAGCTTCAGTTATGATCTTAATTACTTCCTTCAAAAACATTTATTGTTCTTGTCCTAAATTCTTGGATTAATTCTTTCTTTTTTTAGTACTGTTTCAACTTAAAAATGTTTTTTTCTGCTGAGCACACTGTCTCAGGCTGTAATTTTGCATGCATTCCCCATAAAATGCCTTCACCATAATTTGTTAATGTATTTTAGAATAATTTTCTGACACCCAATACCTTAAATATTTTCTTATTGTTTGGTTTGTTTGTACTTTCGAAATGACTATACAAAATCAATAGCCATGCAAAAATCACTATGTGCTTGTAGCCTATCAGAATTTTTTTTTAATTCCAGAAACATAGAAAGTAGGCAGGATACAGTATCCATGACAGTCAGGAGCTGAGTCAGGTGTGCTTCTGAAGAAACTCCAGAAAGGGAAACTGAGGCAGTCACAGAGATGACCAGTTGGAAAACTGCATTGAGGCATCTTGGGAGCAGGCTCTTTCCTCTCCCCACCCCACACCTTCACTTCCCAGCAGATAGCATTGTGATGGCCCATTGGGTAAACAATGAATGGAAGAGAGGTGTGTGCCTGAGAAACAGGTTAATATCCCAGGTGCTTACCAACTGTGGGAGAAAACCCCAGAAGGTAATCTCCTGCATGATTTTCTAGGCAGCATGCCCAAAGAAACATGAAGAAATAACCAAAATCATCAAATATTTGAGGAAGAAAACCTTGGAAGTTATAACAAATTGGAAAAGAAAAAATACAGTTAAAGCAGTAAATAGAAAACTTCAGTATTTGTATAATTACCATTCATGAAGAAATCAGAGACTATCACACTTACTAAATACAACACAGCCAGGAGAAAGTAAATCAGCAACCTTAGTAAGTAAACAAATTCAACACACATACCAAGTAAGGAGAATGGAAGCTTAATGAAATAATTTAGTGAACAAATGATCTAGATACACTTTTTTCCCAGAATGCAGTGAGAATGATCTGAGATAAGAACTCAAGACAATTAAGAAGCATAGAGATCAGATGTAGCATTTCTAACACAATTTGACAAATATCCCAGAAAAGGAGAGCAAGAGCAATACAGAGTAAAAAGGTAAATGGAAAATAGAAATTTTGAAGAGAAACGGAGATTAAATTGCATAAGCAAAGACTATAAGATTAAAAGCAAAATCACTGGGAAGGATGAAAAATAAATGAGACAAAGACTATTTCAAGAGTTGAGAAAATAACAGAAAACAGAAAACTGTTAATAAATAGTAAATTGTGTGGTGAGAATTTATGCAAAATCTCTACTTATTACAGTAAGTGAGAATATATTATGTTATCCTAGTAAGAGACTAAGAAACTGGATAAAAGAAAAATCAGCCATTTCTCCACTAGAAATCTACTTTAAACCAAGTGAGAAAAAGAGGTTAAAATTAAGTGATGTTGGGCCCTCCCTGATGGCGCAGCAGGTTAAAGCACAGCACTAAGAAGCTAAAGCCACTTCTGCATGAGTTCGATCCCCACCTACCCCGGAGGTGACCACATGGCGCAGCAGACCTCTCCTGACCCACCCGCTGCTCCCCTCAGCAGTGTACTTCGTGGATCTACCTGTTCTGCTCCCCACTCTGTCTCTGGTAAAGCCTCTCGCCGCCCCTGAGCCTCTGGCTTGTACCTTAGTTCTGTATGCACAAATAAATAAATAAAATAATAATAAGTGATGTTTGTAAAAGGAAACTGGCACATAAACTCTAACCCCCCCCCAAAAAAAAGCTGGTAGAGAAAAATACTAGAATTACTAGAATTAGGCAAAATAGAAAAACAAAAAAGAAATTAAGCTGAAAATCAAGTGGGAAAATGAATACATATTGATTAAAACCTGTTAAGAAATACAGGATTCCTATAGGTCTCCTTGGTTGGAATTATTCCCATACCTATGTCTGCAGCAATCACAGTCAGAAGTCAAGTCCTACGAACAGTGAGAACCTGTGGGATTAGACCCCCTAAGACCTTGGGTGTTGTCTTCTGTGAAACAGTCATGTTAAGTAGAACAAGTAAAAATCAGGGTTTTAGGAGAAAGATAGGCAATCAATATTTGTTATGCCATCCTGAAATTAACACATCACAGTTTATTTTCCTTGCAGCCCTAATTATAAGTGATTAATTACTATAAATAAAATACTAAGTACACTGCTTAGTTCTTTCTTTTTAACCATCTGTTTCCTCCATTAAAAAGTAAGCTTTAGGGGGCAGAAACCATGTCATTCCTATTCTATATTAAAGTGCTAGCATCTTGTCTAAGACTCAACACATAATAGGAGTTCAATATGTGGTTGTTGATTGGCCAGGTGGAGGGAGGGAAAGATAAATAGACAGGTAGACAGACAGATAAGTAAATACTGGGGGAGATTTTCCTGAGGCAGATTCACCAGAATAATACAATTTTTAAAAAAGCCCCAAAATAGAAAGCTTTAAAGTGATGTCAAATAGGAATTATAGAAATTCCAATGAGGTGAATATTCAGAAGGTACTTTAGTTTTAGAAAGCAGTTTTAGTAATAGTATTTGTCTATATAATCCAGAATATAAGGAATCAGGGATGAAGTCAGTAATAAAAATGTAATTATCATAATATAACCTTTGTTTTCATTTTTTTTTTAATTGGTAGACACAGAAAAGATGTGATGTCTCTATGGAAAGCAGAATCAAATAGAGAGTTGGTTTGTTTATTTTACAATTGCAAGAGTGAGCACATATGTTGACAAAAAGCACTCGATGAGAAAAATATATAGAAGGCATAAGGGACGAAAAGGGAATTATAATGGTGTTGCTAGAAGAGGGAAGAGATTCAACTGAAAAATGTTGAAGTTAACCTTAGGAAGAACTTACTGTCCCCAAATGACTGGACTAATGGAAGATTATGAAAGTCAGGGGTATAACAGAGCAAAATAAAGTGCTGCTTACTTCAACTGAACCCAGGTTACCTACTTATGAATTTCTCCATAGGAGATAGTCAGTAAATATTTTTGAATAAATGGCATGAACAAACACATGAATGGATGCAATCGTATGTTGCATGTGCTTTTTCTGAATCTTCAAAAAATACAGCCCTTTTTTTTTCTTAAGCTAAATCACTGAGGTGATAAGGAACAATAAACTCTACCAGCCAGGGAATAACTCCAGTAGAACTATTCCAATAACAACAGGTTGAGCAAAAAGAGAGAGAAATAAATAGATAAGCAGAATAGATGGGTAAATGTTCTTATGTATTCTACTGAATTAAAACCCCTGAGGACAGAATTATCTCTATGCCAAATTATTTTGCTGAAAACTATAGTAAATAAAGGGAAATAGTTAACGTGAAAGATTATACAGTTAAACATGTTAAATCAATAACCAGAAAATATGTATGTATCAATATTTATCTAACATGAGAAGAAAAAAAATGATTAAGAAATAAAAAGCTTAATTTTTCACTATCGAAAATAACTGCTCAACCTGAAAATTAAATCCCAGATCTGATTTTCTAATCTGTTGAACATTCTCTTTGTGAAATGTTCTACTTTTAATGGATTTCACATTCCAAATATGTACACCAAGGTTTATAAAACACTATTTAACAATTCACTAGAAATTATTTTAATAGAAATATTTACACTATAACATTCTTCTCAGTATCAAAGTACCTCAACACTTGACTTTAAGGTCAAAGGTCACAGCAATGGATTAACACTTTCATGTCATTTGGTAGACATAATCAAAAATACATGAGCATATCTCAGATTTAGCTTCTATTTGCTCTTACTAGAATTTTATATCAGCATTTCTTATTTAATTATGTATTTCAATATGAGAACTTTGCCAATGTGCTATTTCCTTAAAAGAAAAGCACTAAGGGTGAAAAATGTTTCCTGCTTTCTTTATTACTTACAGTAGCATAATCACTACTTTTACAACTCAAATTATTCTTGCAACAATTTAATTACCACCTACTATGCACATAACAGTTAGTGACCCAGGCATCTACACTGCATGCTGGATAAAGCCATGATGGGACCAGCGGGCTGTTGGGAGCAGGGGAAGACTTCAATGATAACTAGTTAACAACTAGATAACAGCTCGTGTGTATAGTCCATTTTATGATACGATTCTTATACTATCAATCATCAGTAAGTTGGAAAGTAAGCATGAAGATAATGGTCTGTTAGAGCAGACTGACTTATTTTGCTTCTTTAAAGGATGATGTGGTGCCTTGGGATGACGCACTGATTTGGTTCTCATTGCACACTGATGGGCTGCAGAGCCGTGACTGTCAACTCACAACACTGAAGATTTTCAGTTACCAAATCAGATAATTCATATTCTAATGAAAACTGCCCACAAACCATTTTCTTTGGAGGCTCTGTATTTAGCTCACTGAATTTTATTACTCGACCTGTTTGGAATATTCCACTAGCGATACATATACAGAATGTTTTTGTGCTTTAATATATATGTATTTTCTGTTACATATATAAGCCATTTCATAACATCATATACCTCCCTTTGCTTGTTGCATTATTCTCTAGACACATCATAATTTCAGGTATATTTGCTTTAAAAAAAGTGGCAAAAAAAAAAAGGCAGTGACATAGGTTGTTTTGTAGAGAAGATGGCCACAGTGTTCTCCCGCCTCCAAGACCCACTGACACCAGCAGCAGCTGACACATCATCCCTCCTAGGAGGACAAGTGCCATGAGATTTTTAAAAGAAGGAGCCACCATACCACTATACTCACAAAACACACCCACATCTCACCATTTATTGTTAACGCCTGAATTATTTTTTCCAGGATTTTCATGATGTCAATAACTGTTCAGAAACCCTTCAGAAGTATCTAGTACCACAAGCAAATAATTAGCAATGACTAATAAGATCTTGTGAATACCTTCTGATGTTGTTCCTCCTTCATCTTCTGCAATTTTCTATTTTCTTCTTCCTTTAGAGAATCCTTATAAGCTCGGCTTCTGGACTGTAAAGGTGAGGGAATCAAGCAAACACATCACCACAATACAGTAGTCATTGGAACTCATGCTAATACCTCACACCCTTACTGAAGTTACTGTACGTTCTCCATACACACTTGCTCGAGTGATTTATGCCTGTGTCTAAGGAGATCCCTTGGGATGTATTTTTAAAAGCCTAATTTAAGCACAGCCATCCAGCACATTTTAAAGGATGATCTAAACATTTGTTTAAGTTTAGGAAAAGAAAATCCCCTCAGAGATAATCAACATAGCTTATTCTTTCTAGTGAGAAGAATTTGAAACAGAAAGTTAAATATATTTTCCAAGTATTCCAGGTAGTTAATATAAGGGACAAGCAATGGTGACAATGACTTCAGAAGCACTGACGAGTCTACTGCTCATTAATGGTTTCCTACTAAATAACTTGTCAGCTGCTAATTGATAGAAAGAAAAGCATCTCTGGAATTATGTGCTAAGTGTTTGCAGCCCTAATCTGTACCTGAAGCTTGCTTCTAATTCTAAGAGGGAAGATGGACTTTTCAGGGAACAGGGACGAACATTTCTAGCTGAACTTGGACCTCCAGAGGAAGACTCAGGAGAGCCAGCACACACAGTAGGGTGCCCTACATTCCAGTGCACACTCTGGCAGAGAGGGCACACATTCCAGAATTGGAGAGATTGCCAGTATTCTGTCTATCTATTCGCAGTACACTTTCTCTTCCTCACATTGATTTGTAGTCCAACCTGTGCAAGACAGAAGTCAGGCTGATAAGCTAATGTGTAAGAAATTCCATTGTTCTCATAAAACCATAGCAGCAGCATGCCAGCAGACTACAAATGTTGGGCCTATTTCTTTGGATTAACAATCCATAAAGCTTCTGTAGACTAGTTGCCCTTTCCTTTACTATAATTTTTCTCAAGTACTTCTTAACTCATTCCCCCATTTCTGTCACTATAAAAACCTATACTCCAGCAAATAAGAAGCTCTTGCCAAAAAGAAAGACTTCCAGAATTGTATCATCAGCAGCACTATCAATTAGAACAGTGCAGCTTCAGACATGCTCAGAAAGCCTGCTACATGACCAAATCCACCACATCCAACAGGTAACCTCACCAGAGGACTTCCCTTATCTGTGTCCTCAACACAAAAGGACTGATAGATGTAGTAGATAAGGAGTGGTTTCCAGTGACCCTCCCTTGCTGTGTTCAAGAAGGCTGGTCTTTAGCACAAATACTCCATAAAAAACTGAAAAGGGGGGAGCAGGCAAGGCTTCTATCATCTGTTCAAGAAAGTAAAAGGAGTAAAATATTTAAAATGGACATGATGACTTGAGTCAGGAACCTAAATACTGTCTGTATACCTCCCTTTTAAACACAACCCCTTTGTTGTTATTTTACTAGAATACAGGCTCCAGACTTTTCCTTAAAAATGAAAGTATTATTTGGCCCTCTCTGGAGGCACAGCAGGTTAAAGCACAGCACTGAGAAGCTTAAGCCACTTCCGCATGAGTTCAATCCCCACCTGCCCTGGAGGTGACCACATGGCGTGGCAGACCTCTCCTGATCCGCCTGCTGCTTCCCTCAGCAGTGTACTTTGTTGATCTGCCTGTTCTGCTCCCCACTCTGTCTCTGGTGAAGCCTCTTGCCGCCCCTGAGCCTCTGGCCTATACCCTAGTTCTGTATGCACAAATAAATAAATCTTTAAAAAAATAAAAGTATTATTCAAAAGGCCACAAAACCTGGGAAGACTTCCCTAGGAGGAAGGCGAAGTCACTCACAAACCTAAGCTTGCTTACCCAGCTGTGATCATGAGGCAGGGCAGGAAGTTTCTGTTCAAAAACAACAGAAGGGGAAAAATAGTTGATGACTATTTCTTAGCTCTAAATCCCCAAAGTTTCTAAATTATTATATTCACATAATTTTTCTATCATTAAACATGTAATATATTAAGATTAAATTTTTCTTATTCGCCTCAAGTACACTTTTTACATGTCCACCAAAACTATTGTGGTGATATATTTATTCAATAAATAGTAGTTCAAGCCTCTGTGGTAAGACAGGTTTCCTTACCAAGTGTTTCTAGCCTGGACGTCAGACAAGAAGATAAGAGATTACAGCACAGTGTGATAGGTATTATGATAAAGGAAGTTAAAGAGAAGGACATTTAATTAAATTGGATCAAGGATATCTCAAACTTGGTGACATTATGTTGTTGCTTGAAGTGTGAGCAGAAATCAGATTTAGCAGAAGTAAGGCATGGTCAAACAAATGAAAAATAGTCTTGTGCTGGTTTGCTAGGACTGTCTTAAAGTTTCACAAACTGGGTAACCTAAACAACAGCAAAGGGCTGTCTCATACTTTAGGAGGCTAGGAGCCCAAAATCAAAGTATTCTCAGCAAGTCTGGTTCTTCCTGAGGGTCTGTGAGGGAAGGCTCTAGGCTTTGCTATTTGGCTTGTAGACAACAGTCTTCTTCTTGCACCTCTTCACATTGTTTTCCCTTGATACTTGTCTGTCTCTGGTTAATTTTCTTGCTTTTTATAAGGACACAATTTAACTGGATTAGAATTTACGCTAATAATCTCTTAAATTGATTACTTCTATAACGACCCAACCCCCAAACAGGGCTATATTCTGAGGGAAAAGCAGCTAGAACTTTCACATATGAATAGGGGTTAGGAGGCACTCCCATGATGATAAGCACTGAGTTCCCATTTCAAGATGGTGGAATAAAAATGGTTGGTTCCATTCTTCTCTCAAGAGTTGTGCTAAACAGAGGAAAACACGAAACACAAAGTCTATTTTCAAAAATCCAAAGAAATCTATGTTCCCACATGGAACTCTATAAAAACAATACCGATGAAGACGTACTAAAGACTTGCTTACAAGGGGTAAAGAATGCCCATGAGGAGCCAGTGTTCTCCACAAAGCAGCATGGCACCCAAGAAACAGAGGCCTCAGTTACTGGGGATGTTACAGGGCATCCCAGTGTGAACTGGGCTGCTTGTCTGTAGGGCCTCACCCCTGTGCTTAAAATTCAGTTGTACTGCAGACACACACAAAAGGGTCAATAGTGGATTTATTTACAAAAGGGGAAAGAAAAGGAAACAACCCAGGGAAAGAGATACAAAGTAACAAGACTATACTACTGGCTGGGCTGACTTAGAGCTCTGGTAACTAACTGAAAGCCCGGAGTCCCCTGGTCCCAGGAGCCGTTTCTGGAACGAGAGAGACAGTTGGACAAAATGGTTCCCTATTTATCCCCCAAAGTCTCAGAATGCCTGCTTAGCTCCACCCTTGGGTCCTTGGAGTTCTCTCTCTGGTACTGCTGGGAGTTGTAGTTTTCAATCACTGGAGTAGGGGATAGAGTCCAGAAAGTGGGAGTAGGGGGTAGGGTCCATTAGACTCTGCAGTGTTCCTTTAGGACAACCTTCCCCTTAACAGGGAGACAGGGATAGTAGGGAGGTACCTGTGCTGCTCTGACCTTGAAAGTTCAAGTACTAATTCTTACAATCCTGACAGGAAATCAAAAGCTATTTGCTGGGTGAGCTAAGCAGGCACACCCCACATGGAAGGCAGCAGGGGTCAAATCCCAGAGAGAGACTGAAAGGCTTGTATAAAATCCTGTACACCAAGAGGTAAGACTTTGATGTTTTCTTCTGCTCCCTGCACACTGTTTCCTCTGAGAGGTAAAAGGAGATATTTTATCTGTGAAACAAAATAGATTGCTTGCTCTTTTTTGAAAAACAGAGAAAAGAGCTCTCAGAAAATAAAAATCTTCTCTTCCCCCTCAAGAAAGACAAACCAGCAAATTATTTAGAAAATAAAGTCATGTGTGACAAGATGTGTCAGATAACAGAAAAAGCACATATGCTGGTCTCTGTCTTCCGGTTCCTGGCACAGTGTCCCTGAAGCCCTCATAATTTCCCAGGTGATAGGAGCTAAAGCAGCTTCTCTTGTTCTGCTTTTGACCTCCTCTGTGACATCTGACCCCGGTTGCAGAGCTCCTAAAACTCTTGTAAATCCCTAAGAGGTTCAAACATTAGGAGCATCTTTTGTTCTATTAAGGTGTCTCTGGGTGGGCTCCTGGATGAGGACTGGCTACTAGAAAAAGCCAAGTCATGATTAGAAAATGGGAAATTTCAAAACCACTGTCACTGTCTGAGAAGGGAGGAGGCTAGAGACAGAGTTAATTGAGGTGAGGAAAACTCCACTAACATCCTGACAGTATGTGCTTCAGGGAGCTTCCAGGTTGGAGAACACATCCATATACCAGGCAGGTGATTTACCCCAATTCAGGGGGTCAGAAGCTCCTATGTGGAGGACTTTCCCAGAACTCCCCCTATATAGCTCTATATGGCTGTTCATTTGAAGCCTTTATCATATCCTTTAATAAACTGGTATACATGTATGTATGTGTTTCCCTAAGTTCTGTGAGCCACACTTGGAAATTAATAACTATCAAGGAAAGAGTCATGGGAACCTCCCATTTGTATCTAAGTCAGATTAAAGTTGTGAGAATTATTATGATTGGTATCTGAAGTGAAGGGCACAGGGTTAGTCTTGTGGGATTGAGTCCATAACCTCTAGCATCTGACACTACTCAGGTAGTGTCAGAACTGATTTAAGTGATAGGAGACCCATCCGGTGTCCCAGGATTGCATGATGTGGGATCAAACCCTGGTGTCAGAATCACAGAGTGTGGTTGTTGTGTGAGAGTCAAAAGCAGTATTTCCAAAAATAAGAGAAAAGATATAATGATAAACGAGAGGAGAATTTTTGTGAAAAAGTTAGAAGATAAGTCCAGGAGGACTAGTATTTGAATAATAAAAATCCCATTAAGAGAAAATGAAGAGAAATAAATCAAAAAAATAGCACAAGAAAATTATCTAGAAATAGAGGTGAAATTCCAGATCAAAATGCATTAAAATGATCCTCATCTAAGGCACATCATCATGAAATTACAGAGCCAGAAAAAAAAATTGCTAAAATATTTCAAGGAGCAACAAGAAAAAGTCTTCATAAAACGAGAGAAAGTTAGACAGTGAACAGTTTTAGATTTCTTAGGAACCAACAAAATCCTAGGTGGAAATTAAATGCTTAACAGAAAACTGCAAGCAACATATATGGGCTGAAGAAAGATAGTTTTAGATACACAGGGTTCAAACATGCGTTTTTTTCTAGGGAAGCAACTTAGTAATACACTTAATCAAAGCAAAGAAAATAGCTCAAAAACAGTTTTAGATACACAGGGTTCAAACATGCATTTTTTCTAGGGAAGCAACTTAGTAATACACTTCATCAAAGCAAAGCAAATTGCTCAAAAGCAGAAGATATGAAATCCAGAAACCAGGGGACTCAACATGGGGAAGTAATCAAAGCCATTCCCCAGAAGACTTTAAAGCAGGATTCTCATGCTTGGCTGAACCTCACCTGGGGAGCTTGGATGGCCCTGGGGCTCAGGCCACAATATAGCAGGATCTCTGGGGGTGGAACCTAGACATCAGTGAATTTTATAGGCCCCCAGACAATTCCAAGTTGCATAGAGGTTGAGAAACATTCTGTGAAAGGAAAGTTTGAGAAGAACAGCAATGTAGGGGCCTAAAAACCAAGCAGCCGAGACTGTCAAGAGTTAGGAGGAACACAGAGGAGGAACAGCTCCAGGAGCGAAAGAACTTGCAATTGACAAGTTGTCCATCAGGCACAAAATGGAAAGTTACACAAAAATCTGCATCCAGCAGCACTTTGTACAGCAATCACAAAGGCCAAATGTTCAAAGGAAACTAAGAAAATGTTCAAAGGAAACTAAGAAAATGCAAAAGTAACATGAATGTTTTAGTCAGAAGAGAAAGAAAATGTGGAGCATACTAACTGGCTCACCATTGAGAAAATGATTTATATAGTCATACAGGGAAAGCCTTAAGTACTCAATACTTATATTAGGAGATTGGAGGGAAAAAATTAATGAGATCTTAAATACAAGGTAAGAGAAATGCAAAGCCAAGTAACAAAAGAAGCACTGTAGCAGGATGAATAGCACACACACGCACACACATACACATAACCATTAGTATCCTTGGAATCTTAATCCCAGGGAGCTGTGAACATCACTTTCCATGGAAAGAAGGATATTGCAGCAAATAGGGGTTTTGAGTTAGAGTAATCCTGGATGATCCAGGGGAACCTATCCTTTAAGAGGAAAGCGAAAATATCAGAGGAGGGAGAAGATGAAAGGGGAGATTAGGGATGCAGTCACATGCCAGGGAGACAAAAAAATGCCACAGACAAGAGACTCTGGAAGAATCACTGAACAGATTCCCTGATCGAACCTCTAGAAAGAACCAACCTGGCTGATACCCTGACTTTAGCCCCATCAAACTCATTTATATCTTCTGACCTCAAAGCACTGCAGAATAGATTTGTATTGTATTAGGGTCCTGAATTTGCAGTGATTGATTACAATAACAATGGGAAATTAATGTTAGAAGTTTAAAGTATTGCAGTAGAAGTAGGTTTGAAGAGGGGCACACGTGCCTTAAAGTGTTGACTTTTAAAGTGACAGATAAAAATTAAAATATACTGTTAAGGGTAGAGAGTAGTGGAAATGAGAGGATATGGTCAAAGAGGCATGTGTTAGAGCAAAACTCTTCTAATATTACTGTGCACACAAGTCACCCATGGACAGTGGGTGATACAGGCTCTGATTTAGACATTACATGGGGCCGGAGACTTGTCTGCATTTTCATTAGCGCCCAGTGATGCTGCAGCTGCAGGTTCATGGACCACACTTAGAAGAGCAGAGACCTAGAGTCTAGGTTGGCGGGGGGTGTGTGTGAAGAGAGCAGGCAGCGTTGTGTGCTTATGATAAGGTATTTTTTAAAAAAAGATTTATTTATTGATGCAAACAGAACTGGGGTACAGGCCAGAAGTGAAGGGGCGGTAAGAGGATTCATCAGAGACAGAGTGGGGAGCAGAACAGGCTGACTAACGAAGTACACTGCTGAGGGGAGCAGCGGGCGGGTCAGGAGGTCTGCCGCGCCATGTGGGTCACCTCCAGGGTGAACTCATGCTGAAGTGGCTTTACTTCTCAGTGCTGTGTTTTAACCCACTGTGCCACCGGGGAGGCCCCTAAGGCTTTTTGACTTTATCGCTGAAGACATAAGGAGTGACTGAGCGGAAAACAAGATGAGGTTTTAAAATTTATTCTTCTCTTTTCTTCTAAAGGAGATTAGGGCACACACCCAAGGCTGACTGGAGATGCTCAGTGTGCACTGGAAATAGGCCATGCTAATAACACGCAGTAGAGGATGCCGCCCATCCAGGTGTTAGTCAACACCTTTTGTCAGAAATTCTCTTGTGTAACATCAACATGAATATTCTTGTAGTTCTTTTCACTTAAGTAATTATATTCTACTTGCTAAATCCCTACTTACCCATGACAACTTCCTGGAGAAAATTGCATTGTATAGCAAAATTAAATAATTTTATTAAACATTTGAAACCTTGGAGCTCATCTCACCCACTGAGATGAGTATCATGATAATCCGTGTCTATATATTGACCATAGTTAAGGCAGACTACAGGTAGCTTCTTTTAACTTCACAAAGAAGTACATACTTGATTTTCTTAAAGCATTAGAAACAGTTCTACAAAGCATTCTTAGAGGAATTCTCTACTTATAGATTAGAATGAGAGGAATAACATATTGGTAAAAGTCAATTCAATCCATTAAACATAAACAAAGTATGAATCAAAACGGAAGCAGCCAACGAATATCGTTCATTAGGAGCAATCCTGAGTCCTATACTGTTCCATATTTTCTATTAATAACTCCAAGGATTGTGTGACTAATAAACTCATCAACCCATAGAAAATGCAGTTCTGAAGATGTTACTCATGCTTTGATAAACAGTATTAAAATTCATATGACTTTGTTAAATTGAAAAACTCAATAAAGCAAGAACATGAGATTCTGCCAGGTGTCTCAAAACAGAAGCCCTCAGGGACTGAGACCATCCTAGCAGTAGAACATCCAGTTGGTAAAGTTATCCATCTCCACATTTCCCTCCCCACCCCACAGCCACAGGGAACCTAACAGGAGTCAAGCATTGTCATCTACATGATTCAACTCCACTGCCTCTAGCTCCTCAACTCTTTTCTCCAGAGCTCTGCAATGAAAGGACAGAAACAATGGCTTTGCTGGGATTTGTGGGGCCCACAGTGGTAAATTTAGGCAACAGAATATCACTTTAGAAGCAGGGAAAAGTAAAGGAACACGTAAAAGCTTGTAGGCAGAGTATAATGACCTACTCCCAGGGAATATCATGTCTTCCTGACATTTAAAAACATGGACACTAGGAGAAAGGGTGGGTGGGTGGAGAGCTATCAGGTTTTTCTAGCCACTTACTATTTACCATAGAAGAACTAAGACTAAAACATTTTCTGGAGTCATGCTCAAATACACTTACTTTCTTGTCTCCGTTTAGCCAGTAAATAGCCGAGTCCTGCTGCTCTCACCCTCCAGCAGCCCTCTAACCTGCACTCCGCTCTCCACCTCCCCTCCACCATGCTAGATCAAGGTTAGGTAAGGTCATTCCTCAACTAGGTGAATGCAGAAACCATTGAGGGGCCTAGATTCGACCTCTATTACTTTATGTAGCTCCATCCTTCACATGGTTACCAGCATGATCCAGCTAAGAAAAACCTAACCTTGAGCTTTCCCTACTCAAATGTTTTCAGTAACGAATACTCACAAAAGAAAAGGCAAGTCCCTCTCTGTGCAGCACAAGTGCCATGGTATTCCATCAGGAACACCACCAGATTCCTGGGCAGCAGCATTTCTCAATATGCCCAAGTCTGGGTGATGGTATTGACATCTCCTGCCTAGCGGTCAGAGAATCTGAAGATGCCACAGCACCCATGACAGCACCTGCACCCAATGCTCCCTCTCAGACGGCCATTACTGAGAACCCCTCCTCCTGGCTCCTGCCACTTTTGGAGCTTTCTGATGCACTCTAATCCTGCAACTACACAAACGCTTCTTCCTTAACACAGTCATCCTTTTTTCTTGCCATATGCCTAAATGCTTGCTTTCCGTGTGTTGATTAATTTCTGATACCTGAAATAATGTTATTGAGTCATCTTTTCCGCTTCCATGTTGTAAATATGCTTTCTCTTTACTTTTCCCCTTTCCTTTGGGCAGAAATTGTATGCACGCAGTAGACCTAAGATAGCCATCATAATTTAAGAGGGGGTGGGTAGACGATGACTGGGCGAGCTCGAGGGATTTTCAGAAGCTGGTATTGAGTCCAGATGCACATAAGGTAGGCAACAAGTAGAAGCTGAGGCAAGGAATGAGGTCAAAATTTCATGTTGAGTCATCCCCCTTTAGCAACATTTTATGCTTTTAAAGTCACACTAGACCCTAATCTTCACTCACTACAAACCCCCTTTAAAAGTGCCAGGCGGGGCCCTCCCTGGTGGCGCAGTGGGTTAAAGCACAGCACTGAGAATCTAAGGCCGCTTCCACATGAGTTCGATTCCCGCCTGCCCCGGAGGTGACCACATGGCGTGGCAGACCTCTCCTGACCCACCCCTTGTTCCCCTCAGCAGTGTACTTCGTCTATCTGCCCGTTCTGCTCCCCACTCTGTCTCTGGTGAAGCCTCTCGCCACCCCTGAGCCTCTGGCCTGTACCCCAGTTCTGTATGCACAAATAACTAAATCTTTAAAAAAAAAAAAAAGTGCCAGGCGGAGTGCTGCATGACATTCCACTTACCCAAGGAGAAGACTTGGCTTCAGGAAGAGCAACTTGACAGGTATTTCTGCTTGGTAACCCAGAGTCCAGCCTGCTCATGAACTCAGCAGTGTTGCTAGCAGAAACACAAACAGGTATTAGTGCATTCATGAAAATATGAACATAATTATTGTACCTTTGAATATAGCCTAGGCTTTTATTGGGTGGTAACTAAAAGTATCCTAGGTATAACAAAAAGCCTAGTTTAGAATAAAGCGCAGTAAAAAGTAAGAATAATATGCTAGAGGAAGCCCTCCTTCTTGAAGAACAGTCTGAAAAATACAAAACGAGGTTGAGCCATAAAACCTAGGATACCATTTTCTTCGAACTCATGTGCGTTGCCTGACGATAATATGCACTCAGTTTGTACACCATGGAGTCCTAAGTTCCTACCTGAACATCTAAAGCTCAGTACCCAGACTTCACTACAGAAATGCGGGACATTTATCCCCTACATCTCATTCCACACTAATTTTACAACAGCCCATTCCCCCACTTTCTCAACTTTCTCCTAGTCCTTTCATTTTCTTCATGGCTTTCACTGCTCTTAAGTCACTGGATTACAGGGTCTTTGTGTCCTATTAACCACTTACATACCATGTGTCCCTTTCGGATGTTGAAACTGACTGGAATCTCTCTCCAGATACACACACACACACACACACAGAGATACACATAGACACACGCAAGCACACACTTTGCATTTGATTCATGCCTACCGCAGAAGATTTATTTGTCTTTATTGATCAAATTCCATGAACAAATTTTGAATATTTTACCGTATTGTAATATAATCCTTTCCTTTCTCACAATGCAGTTTTTCCCTCTAAACCCCTCCCTGTGCCCTCCCTGGTGGCCAACAGGTTAGGACACAGCACTGCAGATGCTGGTAGCGGTCATCTGCATTTCTGACATCTTTCCAGCTCTGAAAGACTATGAAAGTTTGGCCTAGAAAAGTCCTCAACTTTGATACGAAGTTTCTCTTCCCTTGCAAATCCAAACCTTCACTCCAATGTCTCCAAAACCTTTGGAATTGTTTCTGATTCCATATTTCAAAGACTGCTCATGCTCTCTACTATTGATTCATTTCTAATCCTCTGTCCATGTCTCAATTAAGAGGCTTTTTGTTCCTTGTTCCATATTCACAAACAAATACCTCATCGCAGCCTGATTCATGTCACACCTGAATATTTCAGGTCTAACACTAAAATCCCATTATCAATCACATAAGATGTGGGGGTCAAGGGAAACACAAATGGCCTGCTGGAAACAAATGGCATTCAACGGGGGGAAGGAGAGCAGGATGAACCTAAGATGCTGCCATCACTTCAAATCACTGCTTAGGTAGAACATGGCACTTGAACAAGGTCAGAGGCCTGAGCCAGGAAAGGAAGAGCTAAAAGTTAAGAGATGTACATAACCCTGAGAAACAGGGCCTTGGCAGCCGACACAAGCAGCGTCCATTTGTCTGGGGAGGCTTATCTCCCCAGAATAGACAAGAGACTAATGAAGTCAGAGTCTGGAAGCTGCCCCACTGTCTGGGGCTTTATGAAGTCATCAGTCAAAGTATAAAACAAAGAGAATTGCCAGAGATTGGGGGATATTTCTAAATATCCTACACTGAGTGCAGACCCCAGGAAAAAGGAATGAGACAGCCATGATAAGCGAGAAAGGAACTTTAGACCAAGCTGACTGGCAGCTTTGTGTTGTGCTCTTCCAGATGCCTCTTACCTGCCTTTGCCAAGCTCAGCTTTGTGGTGGGGAGAAGGTGGGGAAGAGGGAGAGCCTACTCTTCCTTATACTGTCTTCTTGTTGGATCTAAGAGCTACTAAGCTCATGTTACAAAAACAAGCAATCATTTACCCCATTGAGATCACTGAGACCTAGTTTGAGGACAAGCAGGGGTTTGTTTTATTTTATTTTTTAAGATTTATTTATTTAGACATACAGAACTGGGCCAGAGGTACAGGAGTGGTGAGTGGATTCACCAGAGACAAAGCGAGGAGCAGAACAGGCAGATGGATGATGTACACTGCTAAGGGGAGCAGTGGGCGAGTCAGGAGAGGTCTGGGACACCATGGGGGTCATCTTTGGGGTTGGGGATCGAGCTGATTCTGAAGCAGCTGCAGCTAGCTTGCAGTGCTGTGTCCTAACCTGTTGGCCACCAGGGAGGGCACAGGGAGGGGTTTAGAGGGAAAAACAGCATTGTGAGAAAGGAAAGGATGTGGGCATGTTATATTACAATATGGTGGAATATTCAAAATTTGTTCATGGAATTTGATCAATAAAGACAAACTAAATCTTTTTGAAATTACAACATTTATAGGAAAGGCCATAAGAGAGTGAAATGGTATCTTTTAGCTCATTTGAATAGCTCAAAACTGCAACACTTACTATAAGGTTTTTGTTGTTGTTGTTGTAAGAAATGAAGACAAGGGTTTTTGTTTTTAAGAAAGTGCATTTATGCCTGTAGGAGCTTCTAAACCAACAACTGCCACTCATCACACCCCAGGGCTACAAGTTACTGAAGACACCTGTCTGCCTGGTGACCACAGCTGTCAGTGCAAAACCAGGACAGGACACAACAGAACATTCTAATGAAGATGTTAAAAGTACTGATTTTAAAGTTAAACTGCCATAAATAGGAAGGTACCTGCACCAGAAAAAATACCAAGTACAAACCACTGCCCAGTGGTTTGCCTTGCTCAGAACGCCACCTTCTCAACCGTCTGTGAGCTAACACCAGGGCATTAGCTCCTACAGGTCATGTACATGAGGGAAGGGAGCCCAGAGTGACAACACCAGAGTTCACACCCAGGGGCAAATGGACAACTGCCACTTTAACCCAAGAGCCTGGAGACAGAGAGTGGAGGATTCCAAGCACTAGAGAGTGATCACATGAAGGGACTGACTGCTGCTCAGCTCCAGCGTCGCTGCTGTGGGCCCACAGGCCAGATGGCCTCCTTTCTGCAGGCACAACCAAAATGCAGCACATTTTAATGTGAAATAGCTTGGCAATCTATGCAGAAATTTTTAACCACCATAGACCAGCACTGAACTGGTCAAAACAACAAAACAAACAAACAAACAAACAAAAAAAAAAACAAACAAAAAGCAACATTTGCAAATCAATGTCTTCTCAAAGCCATCTGATATGACCAGGAAATTTTGTTTCTACCTGTTCAAGTCTGCATACTTCTTACTTATATGGCCTTTGTAGTCATTAAAAAAAAAAATTAAAAGGAAAAATGAGGTTAAATTCTAGTATTGAATAGGGAATTCAGAAAAAGCTGCTATCCTCATCTCTGAACATCAGCTAGCAGTAGGACAAAGAAGGTATGCTATATTTGGATACCAGATACTAACATGTACTATTTCTTATAGCTCATAACCATAAATATATGTTAATAAAGAAAAAGCAATAGTGACACTATTAAAAAATGGAAAGACAACCCACAGAAAACATTAAAAGAGGGAAACAACAAAATATTTAGTTGTGAAAAAAATTATCATAAATCTATAGGGGAAAAAAAAGTGGACACTTCACACACAAGGAAACTCAGCGAGCAATACGCCAGCTCAGTGTTGAGTGCTCACTCATGTGTGAAGCCCTGCTATATTCAGATTCCATAGATCAACTTCAAGACAAAGCTGCAAAGGATTATAATCTCCAATTTATAAAAGTGACCTGCTCAATATCACACAGCTAGTAAATGCCCAAACAAGGGTGAGATTCTGACCACCGGCTCTAGGGAACATTCTTTTAGTCACTTACTTGACTGCTTCTCAAAACCAGTATCTATGTGAAAATACGGTCAATCTCACTCGTAAATTTGCATTCCCTGATTAAAACAAGATACCATTTCACACAGCCAAAAAATGAAATTAACTATGGTAACCTTATCATATGCCAGGAGGGTACTTACTGGGTGTCTTACAAAATTGATCCTTTTATAAATTGCTGTGGGGGAGTGGGTTACCATTTCAGAGAGTAATCTGATAATTTAAAGCATACATGAATATGTACATAAATATCTAAGTACCTACTCTTGAGCAACTCTTGCATAGGTGTTCAAAGAAACCTGAATGGGAACATTTAATCCAGTGCCATTTATAAGAGCCAGAGATAGGAAGAGAAAACTGGGAAGAGAATGAGCAGGAAAGAGAGAAAAGGAAAGAAGGGAGAATGAAAGGGGGAAGGGAATGTGGTGATTGCCAGCTGTGTTTTTTATATTACCTGAAAGCAACACTATTTGTTGAGGTCAGTGCTTCCCCGAGTTCCCTAAATAAAGCTACTTGGCTTCTCATATGACTTCAGGATCTCAGGTTGAAACAACATCCTCCTTGTTCCCAAGCAGCTTCCAGACCAACTTAGATCTGGAAGACCAGACCATCTCTGCCCCACCTGACTTGCAAAAAAGCTCTCTTCCTGTAGTGCTCACATCGATATATATCAATATCATCTTTCCCCCACTTTACTGCTGTTATCCTTCAATCTTTTGGTCAGCCATCTCTGTTTAACCCCAGACTTTCTCCGAATCTTAACTGCTGGTAGAAGAAGCTGGAATTGATGACTCTCACATGATGCCAATCTACTCCCACAATAACAGCTGCCTCACTGTTTGCTGTAGACTTCAGATTTTCTTTTTCTTCTCAAGGCATGTCATCTCTTAAGAGTCCCTCTCCCCCACCAGCCCCTTGCCCCACCACATGTCCAACCCCAGTGCCCACCTGGACTACTTGAGTCATCTTTGTACTAGCTTCCTCATTTCCATTTTGGCTTCCTCAAATCCAGTCTCAACACAGTAAATGAATGATGATTTCTTTTTCTTTTTTTAAAAGATTTATTTATCTATGCATACAGAACTGGAGTACAGGTTAGGAGTGTAGGGGTGGCGAAAGGACTTACCAGAAACAGAGTAGTTCGCAGAGCAGGCAGATTGACAAAGTACACTGCTGAGGGGAGCAGCGGGCAGGTCAGGAGAGGTCTGCCGCACCACATGGGTCACCTCCAGGGCTGGAGATCGAACTCACACTGAAGCAACTGCGGCCAGCTTGCAGTGCTGAGTCCTAACC